CTCACTTCTGAAGGAGTTATAACCTCAAAATGATACTGTCGATGAGATTTTTGTCTTACCACTCGCTGAGACGACATTAATCAAGACAGCCAATGCAAAGAAGGTCAAGGTGCTCATCTCTGGATTCGAATTACAATGAACTGAACGACGATCCTTGCGGCTACTACGCTGCTTATATACTTCGCTTTACTGGAAAAATCGTTATTGTGGGCCGGTTTTTATGATCACTTCAGCAAGTTCTCGTTCAACAAAGCATCATCTCGAACCCAACCCAAAGGCTTTCATTGTTCTACTTGCTTGCGAAGACGTTAATGCTCAGATCAAATGGGTGATTGTTTCAGCAAAATTTTGAGCGCGGTTTTGGGACACATTGTTGTCAGTATTTCATAGGCATGCAACATTTCACAGTGTGAGTGGAAAAAAGAAAACCGTTGTCGACAAAACGCATACGCGCATACACATATTTGTACCTCTACTTGCACAAGTAGTTGATGCGACTAGTCGCGAAAGCTATAATAGACTATATGATCTGATAACGATCCTCAGAAGACCATAGGCGCTGAGTCTATTAAGCCTTCTATGTTAGAATGGTGGCTTTCTCACTGCGGTTGGTGATGTGAAATGGAGCACTATTGAGTTGATAAGGAATGAAGATGAACGTAGAAAGAAGAGCTACTAGCCTCTCGCCCTTTCAAGGTTCCAATGCAGTCAATTTTGAATACGTTGCATGAAGCTAACTCAAAATATCGGANTCCTTGGGATGCGCCCACACTTCCATTCAGAATTGTAGTGGCATATGGAATGCGTATATGGCTTACACATACAAAGACTTACAATAGCCGTCCGGTGTGCAGGTTTGTGCTTTCATTCTCCTGGACAAGTGCGGGTCCAATTAATCTACTTCAGAAGGACGAAAGGCTTCGTCCTAATCGAGCATCGATCCAGGATTCGAACCCCGGACCATGCGTGTGTGACGGTACGCCATTTATCACTACGCCGCCTCCGAAGTTACTTTATTGCTGATGTTACCTTTACATTCGTCGATAACAACATCATTCAAATAGTGACCCAGCGTTAGGCAATTGGAACTTCCGCAGCTTTTCCGTGGGTATGTTACCTGAAAAGTGGTGAGCTAATGGCCTGAAGGATGTCATCTCTCTGTTCATGAACAGTAATTTGTTGTGTCTGTCAGTTTGTGAGCTTGTCTGCCTATCTCTATGTCTGTCTGTCTATTTCTATGCCTCTCTGCAGAGCTTTCCCTAATTACAATAAAAGTAATCGTGTGAAAAGATGGAAACATGGTATCGCAAACTTGGGTAGTGTTAGTCATGAGTTTGTCCAAAAGGAAGGATAATGTTGTGTTAGTTACAGCGCTTGTACATTATAGAATAACACAGGTACTTGTTTCAATTCGGCGATTCCAGTCAATCGATAGCCATTGATATCGATTTGTGTAAGGATTGACTAAAAGTACCACTCGACAGCAGAGCACCCAAGTTGGCAGGGTATCCATGTGATGGCGTGAGTGATTCGTGGAGTTCAGTGTTATGACTTCACTTCAGAACTGGTAGTGCGCACAACAATCCTGTGATGTCATTCCTTCAGTAGTATCCAACAGTTTTGCCTGGGTGATTTGGTGTGTGCCCGGGTCGTAGATGCTTAATGAGGGAAACTGATGACACCCGGCTCGTAATGTGTCCTTCATATTAGCCGTAGAGGTCCAACATCTAAGTGGGCATTGTATGGTGCGTTGAAGTCGTGAACGCTTGATATTAGGGATTGATAACAACTAAAAAGAACGATAACGGTGGTCAGGATGCAGAGTCGCTACATAGATCACTCTTTTTATGTATTAACAACGAAGTAATGTTAGCTCATAATGTGATGCTGGGTGTTACTTAATAATCGATGAGTAATAACAAGTGGTAGTAGCTGATAAGGACAGTTAAGGACACGGAAAACCTGTGCACTGATTCTTTGAGTCTTTTCGATGTAGCTGTGATATCCTACTAGGTTTCACGTGATGACCCGAGACGATCCCAAGAGTAGGTTGACGAAAAGGTTTGAGACTAAAGGATGTGTTACGCTTTCTCTTTACTCTTATACCGATTGTGGCAAAACTTATCCATTCACCGAAAACCTTTCCTACACTTTCTTTTTTTCATTCATCTTCATTCTTAAAACGAAAAGTTTTGGCTGTCTTTCATTTGTAAAGCAGAAACTTGGTGTGTCGGTTTGTCCGTCC